TTTTTATTAAAATTAGACAATTTCCCCTTATATAGGGGGGGTTCAAACTTTGAAACATTGTACAAAAAATAGAACTTTTTCAACTTAACTTTTGAAAATGTTCCGGAAATACTGCGTCCTTTAAATATATTTCAAATTAAAGCTTTTTTTATGTACTCTAAAATGAAAAAAAAAAATTTGTCCCGACACCTTATCTACTATGTGCAAATTGCTGTCGAAATTTAAAAAAAAATGTAATATTTGCGATAAAAATCACCTTCTATAAGGATGTTTTTTGTACTTAAAACTCCCTTAACTTTTTCTAATATTAACAAATCAAAATAATATTTTTTTATATTGAAACCTTAATTAATTTCCTTTCGTTTGATATCATTTTTTTTTGAAAATTTAACACTTATTCTGCTCACAAAGGGGATTAAAAATAGCAACTTTTTTACAAAAACTAACTGTTCGCGCCGCAGAATAGGGCGACACTGTGGAAGGCTATCACATTTTTCATGTTGTCCTTTTGTGATAAAAGACTGATACCTTTTTTTTTTTATGGTTATGAATCTACATGTGTCTAGAAGAAATAGGTTCTTCTGAATAAATCCTTTTATGTGGATTTGTTGTTCTAAGCATGACAAAATAGATAGGTATGTCAGAAACTTTGTGATACGCAAACCACTCCTCATCCCATCTATAGTTGGTTCGCCTCATTTCATTGGCCGAATATTTGTATGGTCATTTTCCATAAATATAGTGATATTATTATCATTTATGCGTTAATACTTAATATTGTGCAAAAATAAATTGTAGCGTATAGAGGAATAATGAACAATTATGTATGTAATATACTTAATATTTAGAAGTGCTTTCATTGCATTAAATCATATATAATTTGCTTCACATTAATGTTACTTTTTTTTTTATAAAGCCAAGAGGTTGGTTTGTCAGCACAGTATTGTGATGGTGTTACGTTTTCATAATCGTGAGAATTATTTTAATAAAATACAGACAGCACATCCGCTGCCTGAGACTGATGAATTAACAAATAATATTTATTGCCAAATCGGCAATAAGTCTAATTATTATAAAAACCCAATAGACCTGACCATCGTGGTCAGTCGACTCCAGTGCCTTGTGTCATTCATCAGTCTCAGTACTCGGTTGTCGCTGTCCGGCTTACTGTTTAAAGTAAAGTCTTTGTTTATTCCTCTTCTAACCTATATACTCTTTTCCTCGACATTTCTGAGTACTTGTGTCTTGCACTTCGTCTGCACCTCGTACTTCATTGTCCTCTCCTATACCCCAAGTATTTGTGTCTTGCACTTCATCTGCACCTCATACTTTTGGCTCCTTTTGCGTACACCTGGTATTTGTGTCTTGCACTTCGTCTGCACCTCATACCTAGGTGTTACTCTTATTCTCCCTTCCTATAACAACAGCCTTTCGACACCCACAGCTAACCCGGAGTGTCAGCCGAGCACGGTGACTGCTGTACNTTCGTCTGCACCTCATACCTAGGTGTTACTCTTATTCTCCCTTCCTATAACAACAGCCTTTCGACACCCACAGCTAACCCGGAGTGTCAGCCGAGCACGGTGACTGCTGTACGACAACACGCACGTGAATACCTAGACAGCAGGCACCACCTCCTCATATTCATCTTCGTACACACAGTTACACATTTACCTAATATCATTTTCTCTTTCCTGTGTTACGACAGTATCCTAAGGCGAACTGGCCTAATGTTATTTGGTAATTTAATTTTACTTATTGCATACATTTATTTATTAATTAATTTTTGTTTTTTAAATTTTTGACAAATTAACTGATTATTTAAATTATTTAGCCTTATATAAGTTCTTGTTCTAACTAAA